CGCGATTCAGCTTGACGTCGAGTCCGGTGGGTTATGAATTTTTACGCACAAGTGGCTGACATTGCTTTCAGTCTATTAAATGACATACGGTTGAACCTTGCGATGCGATCTGTAAACAACATCGCTGTTTAAAATATGCATCAGCGTACTGCAACACGATCGAACACATCTCAGATTAATATCAAATGAATACGTCACGCGTGATGTACACACATTAGTTTCAGCTTTGAAGGCGCATTAGACCGGACGTGTTATTAAAGCCCCCGGGGGAGAACCCCGACGTGACCTTCTGATGTGACCTTCACCTGCGTCTGCAGCCGTCGTTTCAGGACGCGAGAGCTGGACCCTACTCGCCTCGTCGAAATTAATCAGGAGACTCTTGTTAGGCGAGACATCATCAAGGGCTAGTGTCTCCTTCTCTGAGGGTCTCCTCCTCCTCCTCCTGCCCCTCATTCGCTCTCTTCTCCATAATTCTTCCTCCCTGTTTTCTTCCCCGACCTGACCGCCTGCTTTCCTCCCCTTCCCGTCGTTGTCGTCGTCGTCGTCGTCGATGACGATCGTTTCTTCGTTCTCATCGGTGCTGTCCAGAACAATAACAACCTCCCGCGACGCGTCGTCATGAGCCGCGCGCGCGTCGTCGCGTCGCGGTCGGTCGCCACCTCGCGATCGACAATCTCATCATTCGCGACATCGAGCGAGTACACGGGCATCGTCATCATCATCGTCGTCGTGGCGACCGCGTCCGGGTTCAGCGCGTGATGGATCTGCGCGTACAGCATCGCCTCGATCTCCGGGTCGACGCATCGCTGTCTCCGTCACGTTGCTACGGCATCGTCGTCGTCGTCTCGTCGTCCGGCGATCCGGCTGCGCGGCCAGCCGTACATCGCTGCGTCGTCGCCGTACGTGCGCCCTGCCATCCTGGAGAACACGAACGTAGGGCTAATTACGTAGTGATGTCACGATCATCGATTATACTCGATCATCGGTTGAAAAGTGGCTTGAACCAAGCACTTGGTAATCAAAATCCATAATCGATTTCATCACAAAAAAATATATAAAAATAAAAATCGAAATAAATGTAAAACTTGAACAAGAAAACTTGGAAAAGTGATGAGAATCATAGATATCATCGCTAAATACAAGTTATCCTTTATTACATATATGTATTATACAACACGAGTAGTAAACAGTGCAAAAAAACAGTAAACAGGGCTAAACAAAGCACATACATGCACACACGTACAATGCACGCCGACGTTACGCACACGCAGGCATTCAACACCCCGATCTAACCGATTGGAACGATCATCGGTTACTTGGGTCCAACCGATGATCGATTACGAAATTACAACGATTACAACACTATTTTTAACTATAGACGACCTGAAATAAGCTGATGTGCTTGTCTGCTCAATCCAAGCTTGGGACCCTGGCCCTCATTTTCGCAAACGCTGCTAAACTCAGCCGGGTGTGGGGGCTAACTAGGGTTAGGCCGTCTTGTCTATAGTAGCGAATACTGGGGTACGTGGTAGTAGCGAAGATGATGTTGTTTTTGTGAAATACGTGATGGTAGTAAAGTAGATGGCCCTGATGGCACAATCCTAGTTACCCCAGCTTATCAGGGAAAAAATTAAAATTTTATTTTTCGGGGGCTACTTTTCAAAGCTCGCGTGCATGAAAATAGCACTCTAAAATTTGGTTTTGCATGAACTCTATGCAAATTTACGGAGGCTCGTTTTGATTTCCGGGGCTCTTTTTGGCATTTCGGGGGCTAAATCGCCCCGAGCCCCCGTGTATTTTTTTCACTGCAGCTTATAGTTTAGCACATTTGCGATATGACTATGAGGGCCGGCGGGTCCCAAGCTAGGAATCAGTAGATATAGGATTGTCCAACTTAAAGTTGGGTCCCAAACTATCGCTAGTTCTAGTACTATAGCCGCGTACAGTGCGCAGGGCTATAGGACATTTTATTACGAATGCTAGGGACCAACCCGCTGACTGGCGCTGCTGCAGCGCTGCCAAAAATGGGCGTTGATGAGTTCGTAAATAATGTTCGTTCACAAGAAATACCGCAAGCAGACATTTCAACGATAAACGTTTTAAATAGGCCGCGAGTAACATGATATCTTGTTTCGATCCTAATTTCCCCGTGTCTCGGCTCGCCGTTGCAGACGAGTGGCGGATATTGGACAAGGACCGTTACAACTTTGGCAGCGGAAATCGCTACTACAAGACGCAGCGGTGCAGGAACTGCCGGCAGCAGGGCCACCAAGCTCAAGCCTGTCCAAAGAAGGTGAGTATTTGTCACGTTTCACCTGAACACAGTCACCCGAGCCGGCACCGAAAATCGTCGGCGTAATCAACCCGTCCTCCCGACGTGATTGGCCGGCAGTTCTAGCCAATCATCGTCGCGATAGGACATCTAGAAGACTACGCTATAGGCGATGAAGTGCGGCGAGGTTGTCAGTTTGGTGCGCACGCGTAAACAAACGCGTGTAGACCGCCTGACCTTGGCCGTGACCTTGACCGACCTTACGTTATCATGTTAAGGTTGATCGATCGATTGTCACAGAGCCACTGTGAAAATCAATGTATAATAATGTATTGTAATTAACTCCGTGGGGTTATATAAGAACTGGGATTCTCACTTCAGGAGCCTGTTCTCAGAAACAAAATTAATCCTCGCATCAGTCTCAACATTAACTTTACATCGTAGAGTGTTGTCAGACAAGAACATAGTAAAGTTAAGAGTGTCTCATACGCAGTGTGTAGAGGTCCGATCTACGACTGATGTTAAGGCCTACGCTACGATTGATTTGGGTTTCCAACACCCATCACCAGAGTTTCCTCTTGCAACGTTCCCCAGAGTTCACAAACGCCACGAAGATTCCGTTCTCACTTCCCAGCTTTGTTTTTTTTTGCAGAGGGCGCCGGTGTGCTACCTGTGCGGCGGAGGGCACGTCATTCAGCGGTGCCGCCGCGTGTTCTGTAACAACTGCCTGGCGCCGAACCACACGCAGCGCACCTGCTCACGGCCGCGCAAGCACCGCCTGCTGTGTCGTCGCTGCTTCATGAAGGGCCACGAGATGCAGGACTGCCCTGATCAGTGGCGCATGTACCATCGCACGGTGAGCGCGCGCGGGGCGAGCCGACACTGCCTCCTCCGTGTTAATCCTGCTCTCCCTATGTGACATTGCTATGATGTTGATCCTTAACCCAAACTTATTGTCACAAACTCAACCCGAATCCTTCGTCCAACTACTTATTCCAAATCGATAGCCCTTCCCCATGTGATCCAAACCCTAACTCCCCCTCCTACCTTAACCTAAACCCTTCACCCCCACCTTACCAAAGCCCTTAGGCCACACCCAACTCTTCTGACTTGCCTTCACCCCAAGCCTCAGCAAAAATGTGCACAAATATGATACGTCTACTTTGATTAACTTCAACGTTCTGTCGACGTGACCCCACGTTTTTCCCTGTTCGACCTAACTCGCGGTTGTCCCGTTACCGGGTGGTATTAAACATTCAGCTGTTCTCTTGTTCTAGACGGTGGCGGGTCCTGTGGAGGAGCGAGAGGACGGAGAACGTGCTAACGCGAACTCTTGGTGCTGCAACTGCGCAACCAGCGGTCACTTCGTATTTGTAAGTAGCGACGATGAGACGCCGCGCTCGTCGAGGGGGCGTGCTATAGATGGCGCCACTCGGCAAAGACTTGCTCTGTGTTTCACCGGAGTTGTTATACTAATGAAGCCAATGTTTAATATTTATGTTGAGATAAATAAGGGAATGGTGTCAATCAGCTTCTTAATAATGCAAAGGTTTGTCCATATTAGGTGATGTTTAGCCTGGCAGTTTTTTACAAAGCGTGTCAGATCACTAGTTAATCATGGCCCTCTTCTCATGTGTGAGAACATGAAATCTTAAGTTTCTAAGTAGCTAAGCTTCATTGTCATTGAATCAGAAAGTGCTGCTAACTGTTTATAGTTATGTAGTGCTGCTGCAGAATGTTCGGATATTCGAAATGTGAAAAAACAACAACATGTGTTGCAAAACAAGCCACTTATGCAAACGCATGATTTAATTTTCAGGAATGCTTTATGTCACTCATGGACAAAGGCCTGATGAGAACCACTCAGTTCGTCAAAAGCTACGAGGAAACTCGCGGGCAGAAGAGAAAACTAGGTAATCATGTTTAGCACATTCGAACAGATTTCGCGCACACCACACTACATAAGGACTGACCGTTCCCACTGTCGGTCTTCATTAAATTGTCACAACGATTTTCCTTCCATCTCGATCCCCATCTAAACTCGTTAGAAGTTCCAAGCGATTCGGTATAAGATCTCAGAAGCAACCTTTGGCGGCTCAATATGCAATCGCGCGCAACGTTGTAAATCGTTGTTGCCACGACGACGGCTATTAAAGTTAAATCCTTCCGGCGCCTTTATACGCATAGCGTATAGCTACAGGCGCATAGGGCAGTGCCATACTCCGTTTCTGTAACCCTGAAGCCCCGCAGCTGCTTTCACAGTAAATGCTACAGTAGGGGGTTAGTCCACTGTAGCACTGCGAGTTAACTTGCCACACTCTATCTCTATTTGCTGAATGCTAAGCAGAGAAGCCGTGTGTACCATTTTTCAAGTCTGGTATGACCCGGCCGGGAGTTGAACCCCCGACCTTCCACATACGAGGCGAGCACTCAACCATTGAGCCATCGCAGTGGTGACACAATGACGACGGCTATAGCACGACGAATCTCGGTCATTAAGGAAAATCTCAATTTGGGAGCATTTTCAATATCCAATTTATCATCCGATTTCAATATTCCTCGCTAGCAATTTCTTGATGACGATGACGAACCCAGTTTCTCCTCTCTCCAGCCATTAAATTAAATTGCTCAGCCTTCTTCCGTGAATGTATTCAGGGATGTATTTCCCCCGACACCGTAAAAAGTGCTTCGATTTCTCGCTCACCGGCGACGACGACGACGATGACGACGATGACGACCCCGTTTCTCTTCACGCATTTCGGTCGCGTTGTTGCAGGTACGGCGGAGACGACGTCTGGCGATGGACCGCCCGCAAAGAGAGGAAGGAGGGAGGAACGTGAAGAAGGTGTGAGAAGGAGAGAGGAACCTAAAGAAGGCGTGAGGAGGCGTGAGGAGGAGGTCATGAGAAGGAGGGAGGAGGCGGAGCGAACGCGGTCGTCGGCGGCGACGGAGCGACAACAACTCCTCGTCAGCGTAGTCCCGGGAACGTCGTCGCGCCTCGTGGAAGCGGCCAAGCGGTCGCCGGCGAAGACCGCGAGAGAACGCGCCGTGGGAGACTCTTTAACGTCGGACGACCCGGGGAGAGGGTCGAAGCGCGGGAGGTCGGAGAAACAGGAGGAGAAGGTAGGCGGCGGCGGCGTCGCGCGTTCGCCGAAGAAAGGGAAGAGAGAGCAGTGCAAGCGTGCGAGGCTCGCTGATGGCGCGACGGAAGGATGCGAGACGGCGAAGGCGAACCCGCCAGGGGGCGCCGGCGGAGGCGACACCGCTCGAGACGCATCTACGAGTCAGACGCTGGGTCTCAAAATTGCTTGCATAAATTTGACAGATTGCGTCAAGGCGGCGTCGGCCGCCGACCGAACAAGCAAGGTGAGAGCTGCTTCAGCGAGCATGCCAGAACGGGTCAAAACCGCGTCCACGAGCAACATGGACGGCGTGGACACTAAAGATGCGAAGAAAAAAGCAGACGACGTCAGGACGAAAGCGAAAGACAGTGCAGACGCGGTTAAACCTACAGCTAAAGGAAAAACAGACAGTGCCAAGAATAAATCTAAGGTGAAAGCAGATGATGTCGTAACAAAAATCGAGGGAAGTGTAGAGGAAGTCGAAACCAAATTCAAGGAAAAAGCGGATTTCAACAACGCTAAAAACGTGAGCCGATCCAAAGATGTAAACACCTCGTCTGCAAAGTGCGCAGGCAGTGCAGACACATCATCCACGCAAACGGTGAACGTTAAAAGCAGAACCACGCACAAAGACAACGGCGATGTCGGAATAGTGACGACGAACAACGGGGACAACGTCAAACCTTCGTCCACGAGAAAAGTCGACGACGACGTCGGAACGTCGTCCGCGAAAAACGACGAGGACGCGGAGGCCGCGAAGCCCTCCGACGCGCAGCAGCCGGCGGACGACGTTCCGAATCTCCTCGCGCAGATCCGACGGGAGACGACGCACCTCTCCAGCATGGTCGCCGACGCCGACGGCGCGGCGCGCTACAACGGACAGATAACGACGCGCCTAGAGCTGCTCGCGAGACACGTGTCGCGGCTCGCGCCGTTGTACGCGAGCAACGAGGCGGAAACCGCCGCCGCGATGCTAAACGGTGCCGGCAGCAAGTCGTCGGTGAGGCGCGCGCGCCGGGTGAGATCGGCGACTCATGTGCTCTCTCTCGTCCGCCAGCAGACGATGCATCTGTCCAACATGGCGGCGGAGGCGGCGGAGGGCGGCGCGGCGCGGCGAGGCGGACAGATGGCGATGCGACTCGACCTCATCGCCGAATACGAGTCGTACCTCGAGAAGCTTAATGCTTACTCTTACCTTCACTTGAAGGCGCGACAAAGATGGAAAGACGAGAGGGCGGGCCGACCCCGGCGATCCCTCGACGAGACGGCGGTCGAGGAGACGACGCCCCCCGCGCCCGCGCCAGATCCGCGTCCCGACGACGACGGAGTCTCGACCGCCGGAGCACCGGTGGCGCCCTCTGGAGCGTCGGTGTCGGATTCGACTGTCGCCGTCGTCGGCGCAAAGTCGAAGAAGAAGGCGAGTGCGTCGATGAAACAAATACAGGCGCGGCGGGATAAATGGCGTAAGGCCAAAAAGAAAGTGAAACTAATCGCGTCTAAGCCCACGGTCGTCCAAAATACTGGAAACCAAACGCCAAAGCTGAATAAACGGCAAAAGGTCAAAAAGAAAGTGAAACCTGCCATCACGGAAAAGGCCAAAAAGAAAGTGAAACCTATTGCATCACATGGCGTGCCTTCTAAGCCCACGGGAGTCCAAACTACTGGAAATCAAAAGCCAAAGCCGAAAAAACGGCAAAAGGCCAAAAAGAAAGTGAAACCTGCCGTCACGTTCGACGCGAGTTCTGAGCCAGCGGGACTCCCAACTACTGGACTTCGTGTGTGCAACGTGGTAGGGTTAGACTCGAACGATAATAGGGGAAGCGTCGAGGCGTTTCACGGAAGCAACGACCTTCCCCGCACGCCCTTGAACCGACGTTGGTACTTTTGATGAGAAAGCGTCTGAACGTGATGCTATCATGTACCCTCACGTTCAGCTTCAGGTTATTTAATTCACGCAATGCAGAGAAGAGAATGCGGTATGTGGTTACGGGGACGTAATGTGAGTGACAGCATGTACATCAGTGATTGGTGGTATGTGTAATTCTGTATTATAGGAATGAAAATAAATCACTTGATTAACAACTATATACGAACACAAGACCTTGTCTTTAATATATATATATATATATATACATATTAAAGAAAACTCCATAATATAGTTTGCTGAGGGAGAGAGGGGGTGGGACATTCAGGAAAGGCGGCAGGGAAGATAGCTGGGGGCGGTAGAAGAAGAGGGAGGCTGAGTGAGGGACAGGGGAGGCAAGGGGAATGACGCGGGGGCATAAAGTAAGTGTTTTTTTTACCCTACAGGCTAGCTAGGGCACTCTCTTAATTATGAACACGGGTCTACTGATAAAAATTTATTGGAGAAATCTGTGCTGAGATACCCCTGACCATATTAAATTCATATTCATCACAAAATATAACTCCTCTGGTGAGATATTACGCATGCGCTAACACACAAACGTAGCCAGATTGTGTACTACAGATACTAGTACTACAGCACGAAGGGTCGTTGTCGTATTATATAATGGCGTATAATATGTACCCGAGGTAACTATCTGATATGGTTAGGGTTAGGGTGTTGGGGTAAGGGTTAGGGAGTAGGCGTAGGCGACATACTCGCCGACACCTCGGTCACTACATATACGACAACGACCCCTTCAGCAGTACCACATAGAAGTTAGAACTGCGCGAAACTAGAGAGAAGACAATGACTAGAAATAACAAAACGAGTGGTTTATTAAGAGAATACATATACATAAAAAAGTACAAATCTTTCTCAGTAGAACTCAAACGGCTAGTATACTGTTTTCTTGTGTAATATTGTATTTCCTCAATTCTTTTACTATAATCGTAATATAATTCTAACGAAGGATTCAATCTCTATCAAACCAATAAAATCAATCACATGAAACTAAATCATAGTAAATGTTCCTTGGGCTGATAGGGTCTATGCCCCCCAGGGTACTGCCGGAACGTACCCTGACAGGTTGTCCCTTCCGGACACTCTCTCACATGGGCATCAGCCAGGGGGTTGTAGGTGCACGGAATAACGTCGATCGGTTGGGAGCAGAGCACGATCAACAGCCCTTACTCCGGAAGCAGAATTTAGAGGTACAGTTAGTACACAAGTGCACTATGTCCCACTACATTGTTCAGCATTAATTGGGGGTACAGGGGGGGAGGATGTTCCCCCTGTGCCCCCTTTCATAAACTCTTCTATGTAATGTATAACCTTCTTCGGTTTATTATTGGTATTATCTGTCACGTAAGGCTCGTTATGTCCTATTCATGGCTCCTGCGGCTACAAGACGGAGCCGGATGTTAACGCACGACCAGCCATCGACCTACAGCTTTTGCCTCGACAACGTCCAGGCAGGGACAGAGGCTAAGCGCCAGCACTCGCAGAGGTCAAACACGTTCCTGCATGATGACCATGTGTTTTGCTGTGAGAGATCGTGTGGCTCCCTCTCGTGGATTCACTAGTAGACGCAACAGTAAATGCCAGCGACATGGACCCGTACACATTCCTGCCATCAGCAGATGTGTATGAGAGGAAGCGGACGCGCATGGTGTTCCTGGTAAAGCACATACTGGCTGACCACCTTGAGCGTGACCTTGAGACCAAGCTTGAGCGTCGTCATCTGCACAAGTACTCTAAAGAAATGCAGGAGCGCTCTGTGTTTGTAAGTTTGTTATATGGTGCATGACAATAAAATGCAATTGTCCAAATTATCCCTATTTTGCCATGCTTCTGGACTTGACCTTGTACACCTTTGTTTTTTGAGTAAGTAACCATGCTGTATGTTATTGTTTTCGAATTCTAGGTAAGCATAGGAGTTGTCGATGCCAATCCTTCGATGACGACTGGCATGGTCTCTGTGCTTGAGCACCTTCAGCAATATGTCGCAGTAAAAGAAGGCAAACCTGTTGACAATTTGGTTGGTGGAGATGGCCTCTCCATAGAGCGCATAATCCATGCCCAGCATGCGCGCAGCAACGGTGAGAACTGGCATCACCGCCTGGATTCCATGTGGGCAGCACCCCAGGAATTCCATAAGGAAATTCTGCTTCTTTAGGTTAGTAATAAATATTTGCTGAAAACAGCTATAGATAAACGTGTGAACAACAACAATTACCTTATAGCAAAATAAAATAAAATAAATTGGTTTAACAGCATATGAGCCATAAGGATTTTTCATTTCTTATTTTGTAGAATGAAAGCTTTATTTCTAATAAGTCCATTTATATATATATATAAATGAAATAATACCATATGATATCTAACTGTCTCATTTCTTCTCGTATAGGATTCCAATAACAGGTTTTTTGTTGGAGGAGGTATAGCTGACAGAGGGACTATTAGCCAGCTGAAATCTGGCTTTAACCATTGAGCCCTTCGAAAGGATTGGATGTCCAACTTCCAGCATGTATGGGACATGTATGAAGTAAGTTGAAATGCAATACAATGAGGCAGCCCGCAGAAGCAAACTCAATAACAGCAATAATGTATACGAGATAGAAGCACAGCACGCATGCTTGCAATATTTTGTGCTTTCTTACTGAGCCCATTTGGTCTTGAGAAATGGTTCACCTATTTATTTACAGTTCACTACAGATACAGCTACGTGTTGCTCTGCGCTATGCAGCTGCAAAACACCACCATGCAAAGCCTCCCTAGCCAGGGAACGAGTGAAGACCAACTAGATTGGCTTCACCGACTTGCCCAAGAAGTGGTTGACTTTTGCTGGGAGCTACCTGTAATGGATGGAATCAAGTTTTGCAGCGAAAGCATATGCAGACGAATGACCAGACAGTGCTGTTGGTGACTCCGTTTTCTGCACGTGTCAAGCAGGTATGCGTATTGTGCAAACTCAAGAAAAAACCTGTTTGCCGAGAAGTAAAACTCAGACACAAGGATTAAATCAGTAGTGGAGGTATTTTTTTTATCTTTTTCTGGTTATAGAGAAAGATGATGTCATGATACTGCGCTGTAGTTTATCATGCAAAGTATAGGCTGGTACCACATGAGTTGCGTGCAACTGAAACAAGAGCCATTTTCTGATGAAGATTGGTATTGCTGTAACATGTCTTTTGCACGTGTCGCATGGATTAGTGCGTGGAGCTAGACTGGTAGTTGTTTTAGCCATAGTCTAGCTAGACAGAACGTCGCGCATATTGGGCGGCGGCATTGATGTTACAGGGAGTTGGATAAGCGGGTTCTAGGTTAGGCAGTTTCTAGGGTGATTGTGAAATGAGGGGGACGGTTGGAACGGGACAGGACGAGACGTGACGCTGACAGGTTGTTTGTAAACAATATATTTCTTTAGTTGAACACAAAATTATACTTCTTCTTGATTATTTATACGCTAAATTATTACATACAAACTACGTCCCTACACTGCAGCAGCGAATGCGCTGGTAGCTCCACATACGTGTACTGCTCCTGCCACCACAAGCGTGCTGAAGATATGGTACAATGCGCCCTGAAGCAGAATTGCAGGAATGCAGAGTGGTATCACAAGAGCTGCAAAGGGATTGCACAGGACGAATGTCTCCCAGGTAAACAGTGATTGTTTATCGGGGGTAAACCAGAGCCACCTTGTTGGCTCTGGTTTAGGGTTATTTGACAAATGACATAATTATTTCAATCATTCCAGATGCATGGTATTGCGGTGAAACATGCCATCTAGAGGCAGAAGGTGATGACTACCTCCTCAACCATACGAAAGCAATAATGTGGGAAGGCCTCTTGCACCTATCTAGAAGGATGGCGGTGCGTGTGGTGCAGCAATGCTGGATGACTGGAAGATGGACATGTTGCAATTTTGGAACAGGAAACATCCAAAATATTTCACAATTGCACACCACTTCCTGGCGTGTAAGTTTGCAAGCAAATCAAAGTTCATGTTGCTCTAAGTGTGAGAACGCATACGTAATTTATACAATTGACCACAAGGTTAATTCTGTGTGTTAGTGTTCAATTCACAGTGTTAGGTCTGTCAGCAATTTAAATTATTCTTCTATGTTTACAACTCTATAGGTGTAGGAGGATTCGACCCTCCACAAATACGTACGGCACCACCTCATGTGGAACAGGGTTGCCAACTTGAAGGGGAGACCAGGTTGGAACATTGGCCTTGACCTGTGCAATGAACACATTAATCCGGACTTCAAAGTTTTGTAGAGCGTACAACGGCTAAGCTTTGCTAAACCATGTTTTTTGTTTATTTCCAAGACACATACTAATGCATACTATGGAATTCCCTGACATGTTTACATTGTACATTTCTCAAACAGAACTGCAGGCCAACTCCAATGGCAACTCTACTCCTCAGCAAGTGAAGAGATGTTCACAGATGTCAGGACTCTATGGCCGAACACTCGATGACGTGTTCACAGATGTTGGCCTCGTAGACATGAGTAAACTCGGTGAGTAGACGTAACTCCTAATCGTGAGCGCCGGCAAAATCTCTACAAAGCCGACATAAACCGGTTCGTTACGGAATATAGCAGTGACTCGCTCTGCGACTACATTCCTGGGCGGGAGCACGATGCTTTCCCTAACTTTGAAGCACCCAGCCAACTGTTCTCTCCAGTAAGGCTTGGTAGGAAACTACAAATTCTCACATGCCATGGATTCATGGCGTCAAATTAAATATTTCAAATTAATCAACTTTGTCTGTTTCTGTCTTTGAATTAGTCCCCTTAAGTTTGAAGACTAATATTTATGAGGTTACCAGGTTACTATTTCTTTTAACTTTATTAGAACAGAAGTCTCAGTAGTTAAAATTTTACAAGGTTTGCTGGCCGGTTTATCAGCGTGGGTTGGGGTGCTAGATTGAGTTAGATAAGATAATTGCGCAGGCCTGGTTTCACAGAATTTGTAAGCATACATGTTTGGGCTTTTAATTTTGATAACTTTTCAGTGACTCTTGATGCAATTGTAAAGTTGAGGTTAGGTTAACAGTTACTTGTAAGTAACATATTTCGATGAGTCTAGAACACCTTCTAAAAGTAAAAGTTGCGTTAGTGTTTGTTGTTTCTTGTTGTGTTGAAGGTTTTGGGGTTAGCGGCTGGTCGCAAATAACAAAGAAATTAATTAACGTAATTAACCGGTTCGTTAACTAGCAGGTATAACATCTTGGTTTTCGCTGCTCTCTCTCTCTTGCTCTCCCTCCGCCTCCACAGACTTATCGGCTGGTAACCTACCTCCACCCACACTTGCCCCCGCTCACTTAATTGCTCAATCGCTTATTAATTACTAATTGATTATACGAGGGATTCGTGCCTCCGCGGTCTTTGATACCGATTCCGTCCCCCAGGTGGCGCCGGCGCATCGCTGCATCGTCTCCACGACGATGACAACCGTCTCATCTCTCCCCGTCCGCCGGCGCGTCCCCCCAGGTGGCGCCAGCGCATCGTCGCATCCTCTCCATGGCAACAACCGTCTCTCATCTCTCTTTCTCTCTCCGTGTTCGCAGGTTGACTTTGGCTTTTCGAAGCGGATGGGGATGAGCGGACGCAACACGTGGACCTTCTGTGGGACGCCTGAGTATGTAGCGCCAGAGATCATCCTGAACAAGGGCCACGACCACTCCATCGACTACTGGTCGCTGGGCATACTCATGTTTGAACTGCTCACCGGAACGTAAGCATGACAGGAGGGAGGGAGGGAGTGAGGGAGGAGGAGGGGAGGAGGAAGAGGAAGGAGGAGAGAGGAGAGGGGAGGGAGATCATACTGAACAAGGGCCACGACCACTCCGTGGACTACTGGTCGCTGGGCATACTCATGTTCACCGGAACGTAAGTGTATTGATTGTTGTTGTTCTTCTTGTTCTTTTTCCTCCTCTTCTCTTCCTTCCCCTTCTATGTTTTTTTTCCTTCTTTATCATTTTCGCACCTCGCCCTCGTGTCTTCTCCCTCTGTCTCACAGCTCCTTGTTTCTTTCTTTCTCCCTTCTCTCATCGCTTTTCTCTTTCCCTCTTTCTCTTTCTCTCTCTCTCGCATCACTTCTCTCTCTCCCTCTCACTCATATCCCCCTCTCTCTATCTCTCTCCTTACTCTCACGGCTTGCCCCCTCCCCCCTCTCTCTCCTTACACTCACTGCTTCTCCCCCTCTCTCTCTCTCTCTCTCCTTACTCTCACGGCTTCTCCCCCTCTCTCTCTCTCCTTACTCTCACGGCTTCTCCCCCTCTGTCTCTCTCCTTACTCTCACGGCTTCTCCCCCCCTCTCTCTCTCTCCTTACTCTCACGGCTTCTCCCCTTCTCTCGCTCGCTGCAGGCCTCCCTTCACGGCGCCGGATCCCATGAAGACTTACAACATCATCCTGAAGGGACTCGACATGATCGAGTTTCCGAAGAAGATCACGCGTCACGCGCACAACCTCATCAAGAAGCTGTGCAGGGAGAACCCCGTAGAACGACTCGGCTACCAGAAGAACGGCGTCAACGACATCCGACGACACAAGTACGTCCGTGAGAGTCGCTGCCAGTAGTGCAGTATTAGTGATATTAGTACAAGTACGTCCGTGAGAGTCGCTGCCAGTAGTGCAGTATTAGTGATATTAGTGATATTAGTACAAGTACGTCCATGCGAGTCGCTGCCAGTAGTGCAGTATTAGTGATATTAGTACAAGTACGTCGCATTGCGAGTCGCTGCCATGTGGCAGTATTAGTGATATTAGTACAAGTAGCGTCGCGTGAGAGATGCGCTGCGAGTAGTGTCAGTATTTAGTGATATTAAGTAACAAGTTAACGTCCGTGAAGAGTCGCTGCCAGTAGTGGCAGTATTAGTGATATTAGTACAAGTACGTATCCGTGAAGAGTGGCCGCTGCCAGTAGTGCGTATTAGTGATATTAGTAACAAAGTCGATCCGTGAGAGTCGCGTGCCAGTAGTTGGCAGTATTAGTGATATTTATACAAGTGACGTCCGTTGAGAGTCGCTGCCGAGTAGTGCAGTATTAGTGATATACGTAGCAAGTAACGTCGCGTGAGAGTCGCTGCGCAGTAGTGCAGTATTACGTGATATTAGTACAAGTACGTCATGCGAGTGCGCTGCCAGTAGTGCAGTATTAGTGATATTAGTACAAGTACGTCCGTGAGAGTCGCTGCAGTAGTGCAGTATTAGTGATATTAGTACAAGTACGTCCATGCGAGTCACTGCCAATAGTGCAGTATTAGTGGATATAGTGATATTAGTACCAAGTACTCCGTGAGAGTTCCGGCTGCGAGTAGTGGCAGTATTAGTGATAGTTAGTGATATCTAGTACAAGTACGTCCTGAGAGTCCGCTGCAGTAGTGGCAGTATTAGTGGAATTAGTAGCAAGTATCGTCCATGGCGAGTCGCTGCCAAGGTAGTGGCAGTATTAGTGATATTAGTGCTATTCAAGTAACAAGTTACGTTCTATGCGAGTCGCACGCCTAGTAGTGGCAGTATTAGTGATATTAGTACAAGTAGTAACGGTGACAAGTGGACACTCACACTCTCTCTCTCTCTCTCTCCTCCTCTCCCCCTCTCTTCTTCTCTCCTCTCTCTCTTCCAGAGCCGCTCTCAGTTTCTCTCTCCCGTCTCTCTTTTCTGCTCTCGCTCTCTGTCTCTCCTCTTTTCCTCGTCCTCTCTCTCTCTCTCTCTCATCTTCTCCTCTCTCTCTCTCTCTCGCTTCTCTCTCGCTTTCTCCTCTCTCTCTTTCTTACTTGCTCTCTCTCTTTGTCAGCTCTCGTCTTTCTCCGTCGCGTTTCTCTCACGTTCTCTCTCTCACGTTCTCTCTCGTTTCCATGGTGACAATGATACTCACGCTCCCTCTCCTCTCCTCACCTCACAGGTGGTTTCAGGCTTCGACTGGGAGGCCCAATCAAACAACCCTACGTGCCTCCGATCCTTGCCTACTCAAGTCGCCCGACCGACATGTCGAACTCTTGACAGCCATGCCGCGAGACGTGTTCCCTTGCCACCTGACCTACGCTCGAGTTCTTAGAGGGCGCCACGCACGAAGGCTGGAACGCCGAGTTCTAGAGGGCGCCACGTGATGTATCCTCCGAAGACTCTACGGACGCCCAGTGATAGAGGCGGGAAAACGAACGTCACGGCAACAGCCGCGGCGTGCTGTCCGCTCATGGAGACGTGCATCGCGGCGCCGTCGTCGTGGAGATGTGGCATCGCGCCCGTCGTCATGGAGACAGTGTGCATCCGTCCGTCGTCGTGGAGACTGCGTTCAGCCGCCCCGGTGTGTCGTCGTGGAGATTATGCGTTCGTGCAGCCACTTGTTCTAGCAAAATCTTGTATAATATTAACGCGCTTCCGGCGTCTCGAGTCGAGAGATGACCAGACAATTGAACAGCTGATAGGCGCGTATTATTTTGTACACGGGCGTGATGACGTTTAGTTCAACGCGCCGCGGCAGTGTGTTTCTCGTAAAAAAACTTCACCTGGTTGTGACATCACCAGGCTGGCAGGCACCAGCTCGCAGTGCTGTGGATCGGGACTGTGTGTGACGTTCCAGTGTTGACATCTGCAGCGAATAGTGAAACGCCATCCTGCCTGAGATACTGGAAAGGCAGTGTGCGAGTGCGGTCAGTGTCTGTTGCTGCGATGGCAGCTGTGGGTGGCAGGGTGCTGCTGCTGCTGCTCTTGCTGGTGCTGCTGCTGCTGCTGCTGGTGCTGTCCACTGCTGTGGGCTGCTGCTGCTGGGCTGCTGCTGCGGTGTAACCCGCTGTTAACTCACAGTCATAGATGCGCCTGTAACCGCCGTGACGTTTTCAATGCCGTGCAAGATTGTCATGTGCGTGCGCTGCGTGCGTGCGGGTGGGACAGGATTTGGTGTTGCGCCGTTGGTGGGCGCCTGTGATGATGATGTATTGATGTTCATAAGGGGAAATGCCGCTGCCAAACGTGTGACGGGGTTATTGATTGATTATTGATCCTCCGGGCGCGTATTAATTGATTAACTAATGAGATATGACTTGTATAAGATGATTTGTTTATTTTTTTTGCAAAACATGCCGCGTGCGTGATGTGTCTGTGTCGTGCGTGCATGCATGTGGGGCGTGTGGCTTTGTGTCGTGCGTGCGTGCGTGTGTGCTGTGTTCGTGCGTGGCGTGCGCGCGTGCGTGTGCCTGTGTCGTGGCTATTGCGCGTGGGCGCGTGTGCGTGTGACTGTGCGTTATAGAGAGTGGTGCGTGCGTGTGTCTGTGTTCGTACCGTGTGCGTGCGTGCGTGCGTGGCGTGAGTGCCGTGTAAAGTAACTTTGTAAGTTTATACAGGAAAGCTTATCTGCCCGCTACCACTACCTTCACTGACGACGTTCCTATCAACGCGCTGTTAATTGCAATTTTCATTATCATTGTTATCGTCGTCATTGTTATTATTAACGTTATTATTATTTTACGCGTTTAGTGCGTGGGCGGGTGACGTCACGAACTAGTGAATATATACGTATAATTATGTAATACGCGTGCGTGCGTGCGTGCGTGCGTGCGTGCGTGCGTGCGTGTATGTATGTATGTATGTATTATTTCCTGATGTCAACTGATCGTCTAGCTATTAATGTATATCTCTCACAGAATGTTTTACATGTCAGTACAAAGTTTTTTACTCATTCCGCGAGGGTGGCGCTAGATTCCGCCTTAGTTGTCTACCGAAAAACATTAGTATATAATAGAATACTAATATGCAGTCAATATTAATTATTGTATAGCTTGTAATATAGCCACTAATATTGCCCAACCTCTCCCGCCCCCTCCGTTTCATTTTTAAACACCGACTTTTAAATTGTTTCTGTGCGTGCGTGCGTGTGTATATGTGTGTGTGCGTTGCGTGCGTGCAGCGTGTATATGTATATGTCGTGTGCGTGGCGTGCGTAATGTCTGATGATAGTTTAAACATTAGGAGAGGGTGATGCAGTAAGTAAGTATATCAGTGGTTTCTTCCTGGTGAACACTAACTCTGGTAATAGGCCCTATATTGTATAGAAACATACATAGGCTGTTTCAAAATAAAACCCAGTTGGAAACGTTGTTGCATATCAACTATTGGCCTTCTGCGTCTTGTAATTATGTTATCACTCTTTCTCTCTCCCTTCTGTCTCTCCTCCCTCTCCCTCTCCCTCTCCTCTCCTCTCTCTATCTCTCTCTCTGCCTCTCTCTCCTCTCTTCTCTTCTCTCTCTCTTTCTCACAATATAAAAATGAATATATCTATATATACTATATATATAATATATATTATATGCCTTGACAACCGATCCTTCACAAAGCATTAAAATAGCATTAATAATCGATGTGAGTTGTTTACTGTGCTGCGGCAGCAGACTTAACAGCTTCATGTTTATCCTGTAATCTCCGCACATAAATTATAGCTGCAATCTTAAGTCCGCAATCTTTCATGTCTCTTGTTGCAATCCGTGCCTAGTGTGTTTGTGTGTGCATTTCCTCTGCATTTCCTCGCCCCTCCATCCAATTGTTTGGCCCATACCCAGTCAATGCGTGAAATAATGCTTTAGCACTGAATGGGCAGTATTTCAAGTCGAACTTTTTTTCACCCCCAATTGCAATAAAAAGTGATGTTACAGCTAATACTACGCGTTTTTACAGTCACACCACACACACATACACACCCACTAACGGACGCGCACTACGCGGTGTGGTCGCGACCGCGCGCGCAGTGTGTATATAGGCCGTAAATTCACATTTTGGTGCCTCGGCGGAGTGAATAATGTGGGAAGCCGAAATGCCAAGGCGATTTCCTCCAAAAAGTGTTTTTAAGCGCTTGACTGGTTATGGGCGTTAACCATCCGCGCGAGGGGAGTAAGAGAAAGTTGGGAAGAAGAAACGCAGCCAAACTCAACGACAGATAGCGCCTCTCGCTCTGGCTGGCATCAAGGAGCTACGATATATAAACTCGATCCTTGTTATATTTATATATATATATATATGCGCTTGACACCAGTCCTTTTCACAACAGCATTAAAAAATACCATTAATATAGATGTGAGTTTGTTTACTGCTGTTTTTTTCTGCAGCAGCAAACTAAGCAGCTTCATGGTTTATCCTCGTAATCTCCGCACTATAAATTATACGTCAATCCTAATCATTCAATCTTCATGTTTCTCTGGTGCATCCGTGCCTGTGTGTTTGTTGTGACATCTCCCTCTGCATTTGCGCTCCCGACCTCCTCCAAATTGTTTTGCACCATAACCCAGTCAGCGTGAAAAATTTTTAGGCACTGAAATGGCAAGTAATTTTCAAAGTCGAATTTTTCACAGCCAATTGCATAAAAAGTGGATTCTTACAGCTATACTAACGCGTTTTTTACAGTCACAAAAAACACACATACACACCCACTAACGACGCGCACTACAGCGGTGTGGTGCGACGCGCGCGCGCTGCAGTTGTATTATAGGCGTAAATTCACATTTTGTGCCTCGGAGAGTTGAAATGTTGGAGCCGAAATGCAGCGAATTTCCTCCAAAAGTTTTTAACGCTTGACTGGTTATGGGCGATACGCATCCGCTGAGAGGGGAGTAAAGAAAGTTCGGAGGAAGAAACACAGACACACTCCACGACAAGATAGCGCTCTCGCTCTGGCTCATGACAAGGAGGCTACAATATATAATCCTTGTATATATCTATAATTAATATATATTAATATATATATATATATATATGCGCTTGACGACCATGCCTTTTCACAAAGCATAAAATACTATTAATATAGATTGTAGTTGTTTACTGCTGGCGCAGCAAGCACTAACGCTTCATGTTTATCCCTGTAATCTTCCACATAAATAATACTCCATCCTAATGATCAATGCTTCATGTTTCTCTTGTGGCATCCGTCCTGTGTGTTTGTGTGTGCATTTCCCTCTGCATTTCCTCCCCCCCCTCCTACCAAATTGTTGGCCCCATACCCAGTCAAGCGGTGAAAAAATCTTAGGCACTGAAATGCAGTATTGTTCAAGTCGAACTTTTTGCACCCCCAATTGGCATAAAAAGGTGGATTTACAGCTATACATACGCATTTTTACAGTCACAACTAACACACATACACACCCTTTTAAACGAACGCGGCAGCACGTGGGGTGTGGTCGGCACGCGCGCAGCTGCGCGTGTATTATGGGGCGTAAATTCACATTTTGTGGCTCGAGGAGTGAAAATGTCGAGCCGAAATGCAGCGAAGATTTCCTCCAACAGTTTTTTAAGCGGCTTGACTGGTTAGGCGATACATCCCGCGAGAGGGGAGTAAGGAAGTTCGGAGAAGAAACGCAGACGAAGCTACACGAACAGATGGCGCTCGTCGCTCTGGCTGCATCGAAGGAAGCATACATATATAACTCCTTGTATATATAATATATATATTATATAATATATAATATATATATATATATATATATATAACTCCTTGTGGCTTATTTACTCATGGTATCATTAGTTGTACGAAGGGGGCGCTGCATGCAGTTTGAAACGCAGAATTTCCCTCAGTGTTTTCCTCACCCCTCCTCCAAATTGTTTTGCCCACGACCAGGCAAGCATGGAAAATGTTCAACACGCAAATGACAGTATTTCAGGTCGATATTTTCACCCACCCCCCATTGCATAAAAAGTGGATTTACGGCTATACTACGCGTTTTACAGTCTCAAAACACACATACACACCACTAATGGGTGCGCCACGCGTGGGTGTGGTCGCACGCACGCGTGCACAGTGTATTTTACGCTTCAAATTGCAGCATTTTGTGGCCTCGGGAGGGNGGCCAGTCAAGCGTGAAAAATCTTTAGCACTGAAATGGCAGTATTTCAAGTCGAACTTTTTCACCCCCAATTGCATAAAAAGTGGATTTACAGCTATACTACGCGTTTTTACAGTCACAACAACACACATACACACCCACTAACGGACGCGCACACGCGGGTGTGGTCGCACGCGCGCGCGCGCGTGTATTATAGGCGTAAATTCACATTTTGTGCCTCGGGGAGTGAAAATGTTGGAGCCGAAATGCAGCGAATTTCCTCCAAAAGATTTTTAACGCTTGACTGTTCATGGGCGATACCATCCGCGAGAGGGGAGTAAGGAAGTTAGGAAGAAGAAACGGAGACAAGCTCCATGACAGATGGCGCCAGAGAGGCGAGTATATATATATATATATATATATCGTACCAAAGATAGAAAATCGACTTAAATGCGCGTTGAATATTTATGTTAGATACTTGTCGTGTATGGNTACGACCACGCACGCACGCACGCACGCACGCACGCACGCACGCACACACGGCGCACACACGCACGACACTACGCACACACATTACATACCACACACACATACACGGCGCGACACGCACACGCCGGAGTCGGTCGCACGCACCGTGCGCCCCGCGTATTGTACGCGTAAATTCACATTTTATCCTTGGGTGGTATAAAAAAAGTTTGAGCCAAACACAAAGGATTTTCTGTCAAAGATTTTTAACGCTTGACTTTGCGTTACGGCGATACCCATTCGCGAGAGGGGAGTAAAGGAAAGTGAGGCGAAGGAGATGTGCGTGTGTGTGCTGTGTGTGCGTGTGGCGTGCGTGTGTCGTAGTGCGCGCGCGTCTGCGTGCGTGTGTGTGTGCGCCACGTGTGCCTGTTGTGTGTGTGACTGTGTGTGTGTGTGTTGTTTTGTGTGTGTGTGTGTGTGCTGTGTGTGGTCGCGCCCGGCGCTGCTATGTGTGCTGTATTGTGTGTGTGTGCGTGTGTGTGTTTATGTATCGTATGTATTATGCCCACACACTCACGCACGCACGCCACACACCCACACATCCACGCACACCGCCACTCACCACACACACATACACACACGCACACACACGCACGCGCGCCACCGCACCACACGCACACACCACGACACCCATACTACCACCACACGCGACGCGGCGCGCGCCGCACACCAACACACACACCACACCACACACACACACACACACACACACACACACGCACGCCACACACACACACACACACACACCACACACGCACGCACACATATATACATATATATATATATACGAACGCCACGCACGCACCACGCACGCACGCACGCACACACTGGCCACACACGCCACCAGACATACATACCACACACACATTACACGCGCGGACACGCACACCGCCGATCTGGTGAGTGGTCGCACGCCACTTGGCGCGTTATTGTAGGCTAAATTCACATTTTTATGCTCGGTGGCTAAAAAGTTTGAGCCAAAACACAAAGGATTCTTCAAGATTTTTTAACCGCTTGACTGCGTACGGCCGATTACCATTCGCGAGAGGGGATTAAGGAAGTGAGGCGAGAAGCAGGCCGTCACATCTACGTTATTCCATATAACTCCACTTTTATAATTATTTGTTACACTAGATGGCCGCTAAGATTCAAAAATTTAACATAGTATCATAATCGCGTATCGTTATTCGCACTATGCTTATGATATAAGTTAGTACTTTGATAGCATTCCTAATTCTATTAGGATGGTGGCGCCCCCGCAAAAGAGCGTAGATTTTAAGCGAGTTCGGAGCTTCGAATTTATGCATTATTTAGTGGATCACCCTTGAGACCTATTATTTAATGTTGAGTCCTTTACTACGTTTATTGGGATTTCATTTATTTATTGTTAGTGTTGTGTTATACGATGAATGGTACGCTTTTGGCACCAGCGGAAAATTACTGGTGAACCACAATAGAACGAACTGTTGTTTACTGAACACATTTTATTTTTTACAAGATAATTGGAGTAAAATTTACAACGAAACTGTACAAAAGCTAAAGCCTGGACCTCGATTTGCCTTTTAAAATTTACTATAACAAGCATGATCAAGATCTACGCACCTTGCAAATATTTACAAAAAACTACAGCAACACAAGAGTCGACAATCTCATAACCATTCGATCATAAAAACACAGAAAACTGCAATATATGAATGCAGATAAGCAGAGGCGAGCGCAAATAAACCAGTCCTTACTCACCACACCTCATAATGACAGGAACGCGAACTTACGTAACATACAACGCGAAGGGAGTTGGTTGGTCTTTGGCACTCTGGTATCTAAACAGGGGGTAGCTTAACCAACAACGATTGCACTAACCAGGCTGAGTCGGCTGGAGTACAGAAACTTTACCTATTGAATTCTACCCGCCGATGTTCAACAGAAATTATTTCTCACCTTCCCAAAGTCCAAACCTAACACTGATTAAAGCCACGGGCTAATGCATACCGTGTATTACATTATTCCAGCCAGCAGACTCCGAACGCCAACACCGAGTCGTAAAACGAGGATCATTAAATAACAAAACGATAACAGGGGCACGCGTCTTTCTTTATAAGATAATAAAAAGCTCGTGTAACAGTCACAGATGCGCATTCTCACTCTCGCTGAAAAGCTGTCAGCGCGTGTAAAGCGGAGGTCGTTCTATACATATACGAACACGAAGCTACATTTAAAAATCACTGCATCAAGCACAGATCGATTTACGAGGTTTAACTTAATTTTGCAGATTGTGTTTGTGAACAATAAGCGCAATGGACACGCATTGTGGCGGTCAGAATAAAATATAAAATCAGTGAATGTAAAAAGAGAGAATGTCAAATCATGGAATGTAAAACAATGGGAATGGCAAATCATACAAGTTCAAATCAGGTGACTTTCACTCACGACAAAAACACCAACGACGATGCGTTACTCAAAATATGTACGATTATTTACGATGACAAGACGTTGAGAAGCATCGCAGCACAACACGCTGTTAAAACATCCGCGACAGATTAAACTGATAGTTAACCGAGGTAAACTGGTTTAGCGATGCACTACTACACTCACAAGATGCATTACGGTAACATACACTCACAACCACTGCAAGCAGCAGCAATAGCAGCAGTAGCAGCAGTAGTAGTAGCAACAGCAGCAGTAGCAGCACAGCAGAAGCAGCAGCAGCAGTAGCAGCAGCAGCAGCAGCAGCAGCAGCAGCAGCAGCAGCAGCAACACTATGCTCTGGCCCACGCATGAGAAAGACGCGACACACTTCGTGTATATATTCCCTGCGTTGTTGACATCACCAATACGCCACCCAGCATCCTCTCTCACACTGATGATGATGTGACGTGAACATGCAGGGCTTCCTATGTTCCCATAGCAACAGACGGACGCACGATGAGCAAGCGCTGAGACAGAACATGGAGATTCTAACGACTGCAGAAACTTCTTTCGCTGAACTTCTCTTGAAAGCAGACTCTCCGCATCTCCGGAGACAGAACGATGGAACGAGGTCAGGTTGTCTCGGCAGATTTCACCATCGCGGTTCACACAGCATGCGACACATCGTATATACACGCACGCACGCACGCACGCACGCACGCACGCACGTGGCTGCCGGGATAGAGTCACGCGCAATGAAATCTCGCGTCGGCGCATCCTCTCCGCCTGCAGGCCACTAGGGGCGCCGGGGGAGCCACGCGAGTTTATTCGCTGACTGGCCGGGGTCACGTCCGGCCGAGATCTCGTGAGACAATGGCGTCGTGGTTCCCCGACGTGCCGGGGGGACGCCGTCCACTGCCAGGCCGCATCGCACCGCTGACCGCAAGCCACCAGGAGGCGCCAGCGCGCTACGGCCGCCGTCATACGTTTCTTCTGCAAGCAAACACAAGAACGTCAAAACCTTGCACGCCCTCTTACAGCACTGCGAAACAAAGAGCAACAGGTTCTGGTAAACGCGCTTCCGGTCTCGGGAGGCGGACTCCGCGACTCGTTGTTGGCATGGACACGAGAGATGTGGACATAGATTCTGGGGGCAAGTGCAGTAACTTACTGTTCAGTTTAACTCAAGTATCACCGACGGAGAGAGGCAAGGCGTTCTTTTACAGAGGCGAGTATATATTAAGGGGTCAGGGTAGATGTGGTGAGGGAGGGAGGCTGGCTGGGTGAGAGGATCAGGATGGCCACACACACGCAGTGACACGTCGCCTGCACCCGCGCCTTCACGACAAACTCCCTAAAGCTTACGTTTATCGTGTTCCAACGCGATGGCTTGCGAAAGAAAGAAAAACGCAAACGTTAAGACACACGAGGAGTCAGCACAGATACAAGCACACAGGAAACATCCACGAGATATGTCAATACAATCGCTCTTAATCGCCTAATCGATAATCAATCCCAGAACCAATAATTGATAATTGATAATTCTAAGGAAGGCGTTTCTCTTCCCGATCCCAGGGTCTACGGTTTAGCAGGTGCGCTAGTGGCACCCGTTTCTTAAGGGTAGTATCAGGTTGTGCCGATAGAGCCCATGATAGAGAACACAAATAGATAACACGTTTTGAACTGAGAAATGTAGCGCTACTCTCCGTTTGTTATATTACACCAAACAATATACTCTCTACTACCTACTACATAGAAGACTACACATATGACTACACACACACACGCAGAAATGTAACCGACTAACAATAATCTCGTACCTTAAACTTGTGCTTATCGCGGATGATCTCGAAGATTCCATTTCCCCGGCCGATCCCTTTATCCATCTGGGCCCTCCATATCTCCCGGCCGGTCCTGGCGGGGAAGCGTCCGGCCACCCGTACCAGTCGTCGGCCCCGCCCGATGTTCTGCCAGTCCCAGTGCCAGGCCTGGTGGGGTGGGGGGCGGTTGGGCTGGTAGTTGCTTCTGCTGGTTCTCTGCGGGCGGTTGTGGGGCGACTGGCAGGTCCCCTCTCTCTCCGAGTGGGTCCTCGTCCTGCCGGTCCCCGTTCTGCGCGGGTGTCAGGGATCTGTCGGGTGGGGCGTCGTGCTGTACGTCCCAATCGTCGATTGGGCCGAGCCCCGGCAGGTCCTCCCAATCGTCGTCGATTGGGCCGAGCCCCGGCATGTCCAACTTAACTTGTGATGCTCTGGAACGAGATATTTTTAAAAACGCGATGCACTGGAATGGCAGTTTAGGGTTGAAAATGAGGGTTTCTCCCGCGGCACATACCTATAATGCAATATATATGGAGTGCCCCCCCCCCCGGGATAGAACTGTTGTACACAATTACTAGCCTATGCTAGGACCTGAAAGAAAAGTGCAGCTTAGCCAGCAATTATAGACCA